CTGAAATAGGCCACGGGATGGCCTTCTTGCGATAGGAATCCACCTATTCCAATCCCCGAGGCGTCGCAAGTTACTTCAAAGACTTTTGAAAGATCAGGTAGGCGCATGACAGGGGCTTCTACCATTTTTAGCTTAATATCCTCAAAAGCCCTGCTTGCATTCACAGTCCAACGGAACTCTCATTTCTTCAGGCAATCAGTTATGGGTGCTACAATCGTGCTAAAATTCCTGATAAACCTCCTGTAAAAGGTGGCCAATCCATGGAAACTCCGAACATCTCTGATATTTTTGGGTTCATGCCACTTGTTAATTGCTCGGACTTTCTCGGGGTCTGCGGAGATTCCTTGAGGAGATATGATAAATCCTAGGAAGGTAACTCGGTCCGTGAGGAATACGCACTTATTTGGGTTAGCGTACAAGTTTTCTTTCCTCAAAACCTCACATATTTGAGTTAGGTGATGTAAATGCAGGCCTACGGAGCGACTGTAGATTAAGATGTCATCAAAATACACTACAACGAATTTTCCTAAGAAAGGTCGCAAAGTTGAGTCATAACTCTCATGAATGTGCTAGGAGCGTTACTAAGGCCAAATGGCATGACCATCCACTCATACAACCCGTCTTTTGTTTTAAAAGCCGTCTTCCATTCATCTCCTGGACGGATTCTAATTTGATGGTATCCACTCTTAAGATCTATTTTGGAAAAGAGTGTTGCCCCGGCCATCATATCCAACATGTCATCCAGACGGGGAATGGGAAACCTATACTTGACGGTGATTTTGTTGATAGCACGGCTATCAACACACATCCGCCACGAGCCGTCCTTCTTGGGAGTTAAGAGTGCAGGAACAGCGCACGAACTAAGGCTCTCCTTAATGAATCCTCATTGAAGGAGCTCATCGACTTGTTTCTTCAGTTCCGCATGCTTGGTCGGGTTCATACGGTAGTGAGGGAGGTTGGGTAGGGATGCTCCCGGAACTAAATCTATTGCGTGCTGTATGTCCCGAAGGGGTGGCAGTTGGTTAGGTAAGTCATCAGGGAACACATCAGCAAAATTCTCAAGAAGGGATTTAACTTCCTCGGGGATTTTCTCTTTTTGATCCTCATCCACTTCTCTAGCTACTAGGGCATACATTGGTGCTCCTTGGGTGATTTCATCTTCTACTTCCTTAGCAGTCAAGAGGTGTAGCCCTTTGCTTTGTTTGGCTGGGGTAGGCTTGGTTTCCGTCTTGGGGGGTTTGGGTTGGGAGGGTATTAACTTAATTTTCTTTCCGTTGTGTTCGAACACGCAGGTGTTCGACCTCCCATAGATATGAACGTTATTGTCAAATAACCATGGGCGACCCAGGATAATTTGACCTACATCCATGGCCAAAACATCACACCAAATCTTGTCTTGATATCCCACGAACTCTATGGGAATGAGGCTACGATCCTTAATTTCTATTGTAGTCGAGTTGATCCAAGCAACCTTATACGGATTCAGGTGAGGGGTCATCTTGAGGTTGAGCTTGGAAACCAT